AAATGTATCTGTGTAACCAACAACATTGTTAAACTTTATATAGAACATATGTATGTATGTCTGTCTGTCGGTCGGCCTGCTTGTTTTCCTACATATGTGGAGCTCGTTATCAGAAATACATACATACTTACATATAAATATTATTTAAAATATTTTCCTATAAATTTGTTTTTATTCTTTATACTTTTGGGTATTTGTTGTCATGAGCATTTGTGTTTTGAATATATGATTTTTGTTTTTAAATGCATTTTAAACCAATACACATTTTATACAATTAAATTTAATTCAATTTTTATTTCATATATTTTAAATTATTTTTTTTTATAAATTATAAATTTTATAAATGTCTGTCATTAATTAAATTAATATAACAATAATGATAATTTTAATTTTAAGCTTTTTATGACAAAAGAATTGTTAAATATTTTAATTGGGAAATGTGTTAATAAAGTTTTGTTTGATATAGTTTATAAGAGAAAAAAAAAGAAAATTATGATAAAGAAATCACTTTTAAATTATAATACATACAGATAAACGTTTTTAGAGCTCTTAAAGATAGTACTCTAAGTTTTTAATTCTTTAGTTTTTCTAACATATTTCTTTTCTTTTTTTCAGAACATATCCCTGCTTATAGTCCTTATATATTCCTGGCGTATTAATATCAACATACACAAGTCTAGTGCTCTAGAAGATGTTTACTATGGTAAGTTTGTATATATTTAATGATCATTATAGTTATAACATTAAATACTTTTTTGGTGTAAGAGATGTGTTTTTGAATATAATCAAAACTTTTATATTTTAAATCCCAAAACCCTTTATTCTTTTCTTAAAAATTTGAACTTCTTTTTGCAGTAAAATGAAACAAACCTTAAAAAAGACCAATATCTTTTCCACTTGACAAATTATTAGCATCATTTTGAATTATTTTTAATTTACACCAACATATTCTGGGTCTTTTATCTTCTTAGCCTAAAGGGTTTTTTTCTCCTCATATTTTTTTTTTTTTTTTTTGGCTTTATTTCAAATTTCAAACGCATACAGACAAGAGATAAAAATACTACAGGCAAACAGAAAAAGGCAAACTTTAAAACATATTTACTTATGACAAAACATATATTTGTATATTAAAAAACCTTGGTAAATATAATAAAGACAATTAAGTGTATATTAAGCTTCTTAAACTGAGCATAACAAATATTCCTATAAAAGTTTAAACAGAGACACATGTAAACTTTTTGTTATTAATATTACATTTAAAATGCTGCAGTATAAGTTTGAAAATTATTATTTCAAAATTAAATTTACCACAAATTGTTTTAAAATAATAATAAAAACTTTAAGACAAATAGAAACAAAAAAAAAAAACAAGTAAATACATTTGTGTATAATAAAATAAGTAAAAAAAAATGTGTGTTTGTATAGAATGTAAATATAATTGTTTACACACATACATACATATGTAGAGTTTAAAAATAAAAATTGGGGAAAAAATCTGAATTGAAAGTATGTAGTTTTGAAATTGCAAGTGTATGAGTAAAAAACTAAAAAAAAACATACCACAAGTGTTCATGCCAGACATGGAAAATTCAGCAATATTTCATACGAGTTCATATATTAGTCTATAGACTAGTCCATAGAATTTTCTATGGACTACTTCTTAGACCAGTCCATAGATTAGTCCATTAGTCCATAGACGAGTTCATAGATTAGTTCATAGAATAGTTTACTGACTAGTTCATAGACTGGTCCATAGATTAAATTAGTCAATAGATTAGTCCATATACTAGCTTACTGCTAGTCCATATCCAACTCAATGGATTAGTCAATGGGCTAGTCAATAGACCAGTGAATAGACTAGTACATAGACGAATCCATATACTAGTCAATAAAGTAGTTCATAGACTAGATAATAGATTAGTTTGTAGGCTAGTCAATAGACTAGATATCAGATTAGTCAATAGATTAGTTCATAGACTAATCAATAGACTTGTCAATAAACTAGTCCATTGACTAGTCAATAGGCTAATCCTATTGACTATTTCATAGACTATCCTATTGACTATTTCATAGACTAGTCCACAGTCTAGTTCATAGGCTTGTCCATAGTCTAGTTTATAGGCTAGTCCACAGACTAGTTTACAGAATAGTTCATAGACTAGTTCTTAGACTAGTTCATAAACTAGTTCATAGACTAGTCAATAGACTTGTCCATGGAGTAGTCATTAAACTAGTCCATAGGCTAGTCCATAGACTATTCGATAGACTAGTCCATAGACTAGTCCACAGTCTAGTCCATAGGCCCGTCCATAGTATAGTTTATAGTCTAGTTTATCGACTAGTAAATAGACTAGTTTATAGACTAGTCCATAGACTAGTTTATAGACTAGTTCATAGTCTAGTTCATAGACTAATTCATAAACTAGTTCATAGACTAGTCCCTAGAATAGTTTATAGACTAGTTCATGGGCTGGTTTATAGACTAGTCCATAGACTAGTCCGTAGACTAGTTCATAGAATAGTTCATAGACTAGTTCATAAACTAGTCCATAGACTAGTTTATAGACTAGTTCATAGACTAGTTTATAGACTAGTCCATAGACAAGTCCTCAGTGTAGTTCATAGGCTCGCCATAGTCTAGCTCATATACTAGTCCATAGACTAGTCCGTAGACTTCTTCATAGAATAGTTCATAGACTAGTTTATAGACTAGTCCATAGACTAGTTCATAGTGTAGTTCATAGACTAGTCAATAGACTAGTTCATAGACTAGTCCATAGACTAGTCAATAGACTTGTCAATAGACTTGTCAATAGACTTGTCAATAGCATAGTCCATAGACTTTTTAAATGAAAATTAGTACGATTTCGTAATTTCGATGTTCCATGCGTGTTTCATGTATGATGTTTATACTACACTTACACATACATACATAAACCCATACATGCATATATAGTTATAAACAAAAAACAGTTAACAACAACAGTGAGTATGAAAGGCGGAGGGGAAAGTAGTTGGCATACATTTACAGTTAACTGAAAGTTTTAACGACAAATATCACTTTTTGTTAAAAATTAAATGTATTCATTTAAATGAGAGCATATGTGTGTGTGTACGTTTGCCTTTTTTGCCCCTGCAAGTATGCTTTATACATATTCATAATAAAAATTGGCAAGTGAGATTTAAAACAACAAATACAACTTGTTTCTTTCTTTCTCTTTTTTATATTTTAAATTATATGGTCATATAAATTTATTTCGTTTTATATATATATTTTTTTTTGAGGCAAAGACAAATACTTATTTAAATTCAATGTGGTAACAATTTGAATAGAAAATTTATGAGAACAAGTGTATTTGCAATATAAAACACAAGTGCATATATGTTTAGCTGCAAGTTGTTATTGTATAAACCCTTAACATATTGTATGCATTTATTCGTTTTAGTTTTGCACATTTATAAATTCATTTGTTTCTTTGTTTCAAATACATACACACATACATATGAACATACATTCATGCTAACATGTCAAATACATACAAATTTCTAAGCAAAAGTCAAATTCATATCAATTTTAGTTAAAAATTTTGCAAAAGATTTTCAACTAACAGTGGCAAACAGAACAAACCCACACATTCTATAAAATTTGAAGCCAAAAATTTGAATTTAGTATTTGACTAAGTTTTTTCTACCACTGTTTTTATTCCAATAACCAAGCAACTCATTCTTGCAGCTTGTTTTGTTAAAAAATACAAGAAAAAAAAAAACAAAATTGCTTATATTTCTTTGTCTTTGACTCTATAATCCACAAATTTATTTAAAAACTACTAGCTTGCTGTATGCATGTCTAAACATGATCAAGACATGTGCATGTATTCCCTTGCCAAAACACAAAATCATCATCATCAACAACAACAGTTCAATTCCAATTTGAATTGAATGAATGTCGATTTCTCGTAGCTGACACAAACTTATGCAAATGTTGTGCATTTCTTTATTAAGGAAGGATGTGAGAGAAATTAAGAGAAAACATCAAAAGTGTAGTTTAAAGAAAGTTAAGAAACTTGTTTCCAAAGCAATTTAGTAATTGTCAGTAAAAGGAAGATTTTGTGTTAAAACTGAGTTTTTGTGTAAAAAGTGAGTTTTTGTGTAAAAAGTGAGTTTTTGTGTAAAAACTGAGTTTTTGTGTAAAAACTGAGTTTTTGTGTAAAAACAGAGTTTTTGTGTAAAAACAGAGTTTTTGTGTAAAAAAAATTTTTGTGTAAAAAAAAAAATTTTGTGTAAAAAAAAATGTTTGTGTAAAAAAAAGTTTTTGTATAAAAACAGAGTTTTTGTATAAAAACAGAGTTTTTGTATAAAAACAGAGTTTTTGTATAAAAACAGAGTTTTTGTATAAAAACAGAGTTTTTGTGTAAAATCTAAGTTTTTGTCTAAAAACTGAGTTTTTGTGTAAAAACTGAGTTTTTGTGTAAAAACTGAGTTTTTGTGTAAAAACAGAGTTTTTGTGTAAAACCTGAGTTTTTGGGTAAAATAGAGTTTTTGTGTAAAAACAGAGTTTTTGTGTAAAAACAGAGTTTTTGTGTAAAAACAGAGCTTTTCTGTAAAAACACAGTTTTTGTGTAAAATTTTTTTTTTTTTTTTTTTGTAAAAAAAGTTTTTGTATAAAAACAGAGTTTTTGTGTATAATCTAAGTTTTTGTGTTAAAACTGAGTTTTTGTGTAAGAACAGAGTTTTTGTGTAAAAACTGAGTTTTTGTGTAAAAACTGAGTTTTTGTGTAAAAACTGAGTTTTTGTGTAAAAACTGAGTTTTTGTGTAAAAACTGAGTTTTTGTGTAAAAACTGAGTTTTTGTGTAAAAACTGAGTTTTTGTGTAAAAACTGAGTTTTTGTGTAAAAACTGAGTTTTTGTGTAAAAACGTGAGTTTTCTCACAAACCATCGAGAGAAAGTTTGCAAGATGTTTCCAAAAATATGATAAAAGGTCACAGATAACCCTGTCCAATAGATTAAAATTTTTTCAAATGAAAAGCTAAATATATGAAAAAATCTGAGTTTACTGTGCAAAATTTAATAAACAATTCTGCTTACAGTTGTAGATTTACTATAAACAAGTTGATCTCTTCCTGCTTTTAAGCTCATTCTGTCTGGTATTACTTGTTTTCTTCACAACATCAACAACATATAAACAAAAACCTCAATATATGACCACAAAATTTCCAACATTCTCATGGTATTCCAGAACAAAAAAGTATTTTCTTTCTTTTGACTCACTGACATGTAACAACTCTATTAGATCTAGTGTCATGGTGATGTTTTAGTACTTTTTCTTTTAAAGTGCAAGATGTTGAGAACATTTTTTTTTTTGTCTCTATTTACTGATGTGATACTAATTGTGGTTGAAGTGTTCATTTTTCAATTTCTTAATACACAGAAGATAAACTAAATGTACATTAATTTTGGTTTAGAAAAGTTTTTGTTAAATAATTTTATTTTTCTTATTCTATTTGCAGGTGTACAAATTGCTTATTTTGCCATAATCGGCACACAAATGTCGATGATTGTTTTAAGTATCATGTTACTATTTGGTATAGTTAAGGTGAGTAATTTTTTTAGAAACTTTTAAGAATTTACTAATTGAATTATTAAATAGAATATAGTTTTCTTGAGCAAAAAGTATTGATTTTGGGAAAAAATCTAAAGAAACGAAATCTTTAAATTTCGACTTACTTTAACTCAAAGAAAATTTGTGCAGTAAAGTTTTATTTATATCCACAAAATAGCTTAATTTTTGGTTTATCTTTGTGGAGAATTTCAAAAGTTTAGGTGTAATATATCAAAAGTTATCTATAAAAAACTTTTTAAAACCTGGGTGCGTATGATTAATATTAATTAGGCAGTTTGTTTACAAAAATTAATACAACTTTTTAATTTTTCAAGATTTTTTTGTAAAGAAAATTGTAAAAACAGCTTAAATATTAGACAATGTAATAGCTTAAGTTGAAATTTTTAAATTGTAACTTTTAAGCGTCTCATGAAGGCTACAAAAGCAAAGTTTTGATATAAATATAAATTTTTTGAGTAAAAAAACTGATTTAAACTGCAGTTTTATTTTAAAAAAAATGTGTTTTTTTAAATCCTTTGAATAACATTGTTCTTATTGACAGTTTTCCAAGGAAATACCGCTGGTTTCAGCAGAAATTTGTCTGTTATATAAATTTTTTCAACAACAATTCCATAAGGAAACCACAAAAATTTTGGATATTTGTTTTATTTTCTTTATTTTGTTAACCAAGAAGTGTGTCTGCAGAGCATGAAACTGTCAAACAGACGAACGAATTGATGAGAAATATTATCGTGAACATGTGTTGACAGTGTCATAAAATGACACATAACATGAATGTTTTTTTTTACCACGAAAACAAACACAGAATAGAATAGTAATAGTTAATAGGGTACGCATAGAATAATTTGAGCTCAAAACCCCTATTGAACATTTAAGACACATTTGAGTTTCTTAAGTTTCTTAATTTACAAAATTGTGTTTTTTTTTTTTGGCTTACCCTAACTTTACTTGTATTTCAAATCTAGTATTTATCTTCCGCTACAATGTCGCTATAGTTACAGCAAAAAATTACACATATCGTCTTAACAACCAACTCAAGAAGCAACAGAAGAAGTTAAAAAACAACTGGAAATAAAGCAATATAAAGATGCTTGTTATTTAGAAAAATTGCTAAGAAAAAATTGTTTTATTATCAAAAAAAACTCAAACACTAACCAAAAAATATATAAATGTGTGTAATAAGAACACATGAAAACAACAACAACAAAAAACAACGATAACAGACAAATAAGATTTCCTTTACAAAAATTCAAGAAAAACAAAAAAAAAATATATATATATATAAAAAAATTGTTATTATTTTCTGCCAGCTATGATAAAGAGAAAAAAAAAACCAAACCAGGAAATGAAATTTTTGTTAAAAATTTATAACAAAAGAGGGGCAAAATGAGCAGCTAGTGAAATAGAAAAAAAAATATCTCATAAAATTTGATAAATTTCAAATAGAACTGGGAAACATGTAGACATTGAATTGTTATCAAAATTTCACTAGCAATAGTTCAATATAAAACAGTGGGACAAAAAAGAAATCTTTGTAAAAAAGGAAATTTTTTAAAACTGTAATGAGTTTCTGTGTAAAAACTAAATTTTTGTATAAAAACTGGAAAAATCGAAATTTTAAAAAGAGTTTTTGTTGTAAAAACTGAGTTTTTATGTAAAAACTGATAAACTGAACTAGAACTAAATCAGAAGTGAACTAGAATTAGAACTGAACTAGAACTCAACAAGAACTGAACTACAACTGAAGTAGAACTAGAACTGAAGTAGAACTAGTACTGAACTAGAACTGAACTAAAACTGAACTAAAACTGAACTAGAACTGAATTAGAACTGAACTAGAATTGAACTAGAACTGAAATAGAACTGAACTAGAACTGAACTAGAACTGAACTAGAACTGAACTAGAACTGAACTAGAACTGAACTAGAACTGAACTAGAACTGAACTAGAACTGAACTAGAACTGAACTAGAACTGAACTAGAACTGAACTAGAACTGAATTAGAACTGAATTAGAACTGAACTAGAACTGAACTAGAACTGAACTAGAACTGAACTAGAACTGAACTAGAACTGTACTAGAACTGAACTAGAACTGAACTAGAACTGAACTAGAACTGAACTAGAACTGAACTAGAACTGAACTAGAACTGAACTAGAACTGAACTAGAACTGAACTAGAACTGAACTAGAACTGAACTAGAACTGAACTAGAACTGAACTAGAACTGAACTAGAACTGAACTAGAACTGAACTAGAACTGAACTAGAACTGAACTAGAACTGAACTAGAACTGAACTAGAACTGAACTAGAACTGAACTAGAACTGAACTAGAACTAAACTAGAACTGAACTAGAACTGAACTAGAACTGAACTAGGACTGAACTAGAACTGAACTAGAAATGAACTAGAACTGAACTAGGACTGAACTAGACCTGAACTAAAACTGAACTAAAACTGAACTAGAACTGGAAAGGATTTTGGTATGCAATTATAGTTTTTGTGTAAAATTTGAGTTTTTGTGTAAAAACCGAGTTTTTGTGTAAAACCGAGTTTTTGTGTAAAAACCGAGTTTTTGTGTAAAAACCGAGTTTTTGTGTAAAAACCGAGTTCTTGTGTAAAAACCGAGTTCTTGTGTAAAAACCGAGGTTTGTGTAAAAAAAATAACTTTAGTATTAACACAAAAGTTTTTTTTATAATTACTTTCACATTATCATTTTTCATAAGATTCCATGGCGTATGATTATTATTTTATTTGCATATAAATTGCAAAATAATCATACGTTAAGGTAGGCCTGTTGTAAATTCTACACCACAGTGCTGCTTAAAATATACATATTAACTTTTCCTACAGTTTCATTCATTTATTTCGGTGTTCCATGTGTTTCTGTTGTTACATTTATGATGATCATTTAATGGCAACAAATGTCTTTTCGTTGCTGCTGCCTTCAAATAATGCTTATAGTACATTTCAAAGTGATTTATATGTCATTTTGTGCCGAAAAGCTTTCATATTTTTTTAAATTTTAAAGCATTTATTTAAATTATTTGGCTATTTTTTTAACGAACAAGCAAAACTTCCTCCTCTTGTTGTTTAGTCTAAAGTTTGCAGTAACAAAAGATAAAGTACATTTATTAAAGATTCTCTAGAAAAAAGAGAAAGACTTTGCCTATGACATGACATTTTGTCATTTTAAAATTGACAGCCTTACGTTTTTCACTAATGAAATTCGTTTTTTTTATCTTTTTCTTCTTCTTTTTGTTCCTCTGCCAATGACAATAAAAATAAGTCCACAATACTAAATATTTTGTTACCTAATACTTATTGTTGTTTGCTGTTTATGTCTGGACTTTTTCTGTTTTTTTCATCTTCTTATTGTTAAAACTTTTGTAAAACGTGTAGACAATATTGAATTACACACAAAAACCTTCAAATGTTTATATTAATTGTATTTTAAATGCTATTGTAACAGTAACAAAATAAACAGTAAATAATACTTATATTTAGGCAATAAAATTAATTTAATTAATTAAAATACATGATAGACAAGGTCATACTATAGACATATTTTTGTGGGGAAATTGAAAAGAATTGCTAATTATTTGTTGAAAGACAATATCAAGAAAAAAATACGGCAGATTTGCTGGGTGGATTTATTGCAATATCGTGGAATAGGCAGTTTATTAATAACAGAATTAGATTTGAATTAATATGAACTTGAACTAGAACTGAACTAGAATTGAACTAGAACTGAACTAGAACTGAACTAGAACTGAACTAGAACTGAACTAGAACTGAACTAGAACTGAACTAGAACTGAACTAGAACTGAACTAGAACTGAACTAGAACTGAACTAGAACTGAACTAGAACTGAACTAGAACTGAACTAGAACTGAACTAGAACTGAACTAGAACTGAACTAGAACTGAACTAGAACTGAACTAGAACTGAACTAGAACTGAACTAGAACTGAACTAGAATTGAACTAGAATTGAACTAGAACTGAACTAGAACTGATCTAGAACTGAACTAGAACTGAACTAGAACTGAACTAGAACTGAACTAGAATTGAACTAGAACTGAACTAGAACTGAACTAGAACTGAACTAGAACTGAACTAGAACTGAACTAGAACTGAACTAGAACTGAACTAGAAATAAACTAGAAATGAACCGGAAATGAACTAGAACTGAAATGAAACTGAAGAAGCAACCGAAAGTTTATGAAATTTTTTTTTTTAATTTTTGTTTATTTTTTTTGTGTTTTTAGGAAAACCCTGGTTTAATAGTTCCTTGGATTATTGGCTATATAACTTTTATGGCTTTGGAAGCAGTGGCTATGGTTTATTCTAATGTCTTGCGTGATCATGTTAATAAGGTAAATTAAAAGAACAAATTACTTTAAGCTAGAAATTAAGTGTGAACAACAACTCAATATTTAAATAATTGATGTAAAAATTTTGATTTAAACCATAAATTTAATCCTTAATTTAAATCTTATTTTAAAACTTATATTACAAAAAATGTAAATCTGCTTTCTGTTATTATTTATTTATCATAATTTTTTTTGTATTTATCTTTTTTTTATAAAAAGTATTTTATTTTATTCTTCTCACTAATTACTAACCATTTTATTTACATTTAATCTGTTTTAAACACACATTTTTTTTCGAAAATGACATTTTAATACGAATGAAATCCTTTTTTAAATGTTATATCTGTTACAGTTTTTCTAGCTTTTTTATTTATTTAACAAGAAGTGGTAAAAAATAATTAAGATAAATCAACATTGACTAAAAGTTTTAGGAACATTTGTGAAACTATGAAGTGTTAAAAGACTTAAGTGCTCTTTTTTAAATATTTTTTTATTTATTCTATAAGAACTTTTGTTCAAAGTCAAGAAGTCTATTTTGAAATTTCTGCTTGAAACTCTTTAAAAACTTTTCTTATATGTGATCTTAAAAAATATTGCCACTTATTTCCTTATTTACTTTATCTTACTTTCAATCATCTTAAGTGTTTCTAATTTCAAGGTAGAGAAATCTTTTAAATTTAATTTTACCTTTTTTTGCACTGTGGCAAGCAACCTTGATTTTTCTAGCCTGTGTTTTTTTTTTTTCATCTGCATAATTTTTGCATATAACTTACCTTAACATTGCAAAGTGGTATGTATCTCCTTTCTCTTCACTCTTTATATAATTTATAAAATTTCTAAAGTTTTGACCTTTTTTTTTCTACACTGACAGTTCGAGAGAAAGAAAAATAAAAAAATAAAGAGCAAACACAGCAGAAAGAAAATCAATTCTAACATCTGTCCTTTTTGGAAACTTTCTTTTCTTAGACTTAAATATTACAATGAGTGAAATGATAACAAAATGACAAAAAAACATTTGTATATAAAAATGATAGAATATAAAATATAGGGAACGTTTACAAAGTCTTGTATTGAAGAAATTAAATGGAGGACCAATTTGGTAAAATGATTAACCCCAGAATTTTAAAATTGTCATTACAACGCACTGAATTGATTAACGTTTAATTTACGAAACACCTGAACGTATGATTACTAATTAATTCAAACAACAACAATCATACGTATGAGTGTACCTGAAGTAAAACTTTGAAGTAGGACTGAACTAGAACTTGAACTAGAACTGAAGTTAAACTGAACTAGAACTGAACTAGAACTGAACTAGAACTGAACTAGAACTGAACTAGAACTGAACTAGAACTGAACTAGAACTGAACTAGAACTGAACTAGAACTGAACTAGAACTGAACTAGAACTGAACTAGAACTGAACTAGAATGAACTAGAACTGAACTAGAACTGAACTAGAACTGAACTAGAACTGAACTAGAACTGAACTAGAACTGAACTAGAACTGAACTAGAATGAACTAGAACGTGAACTAGAACTGAACTAGAACTGAACTAGAACTGAACTAGAACTGAACTAGAACTGAACTAGAACTGAACTAGAACTGAACTAGAACTGAAACTAAGAACTGAACTAGAACTGAACTAGAACTGTAACTAGAACTGAACTAGAACTGAACTAGAACTGAACTAGAACTGAACTAGAACTGAACTAGAACTGAACTAGAACTGAACTAGAACTGAACTAGAACTGAACTAGAACTGAACTAGAACTGAACTAGAACTGAACTAGAACTGAACTAGAACTGAACTAGAACTGAACTAGAACTGAACTAGAACTGAACTAGAACTGAACTAGAACTGAACTAGAACTGAACTAGAACTGAACTAGAACTGAACTAGAACTGAACTAGAACTGAACTAGAACTGAACTAGAACTGAACTAGAACTGAACTAGAACTGAACTAGAACTGAACTAGAACTGAACTAGAACTGAACTAGAACTGAACTAGAACGAACTAGAACTGAACTAGAACTGAACTAGAACTGAACTAGAACTGAACTAGAACTGAACTAGAACTGAACTAAAACTGAACTAGAAACTGAACTAGAACTGAACTAGAACTTAACTAGAACTTAACTAGAACTGAACTAGAACTGAACTAGAACTTAACTAGAACTTAACTAGAACTGAACTAGAACTGAACTAGAACTAGAATTAGAACTGAACTAGAACTGAACTAGAACTGAACTAGAACTGAACTAGAACTGAACTAGAACTGAACTAGAACTGAACTAGAACTGAACTAGAACTGAACTAGAACTGAACTAGAACTGAACTAGAACTGAACTAGAACTGAACTAGAACTGAACTAGAACTGAACTAGAACTGAACTAGAATTAGAACTGAACTAGAACTGAACTAGAACTGAACTAGAACTGAACTAGAACTGAACTAGAACTGAACTAGAACTGAACTAGAACTAGAACTGAACTATAACTGAACTAGAACTGAACTAAAACTGAAGTAGAACTGAACTAGAACTGGACTACAACTAAACTAGAACTGGACTAGAACTGAACTATTTTCAATTTAAATTTTTAGAAGTTAGCCTATTTTCCTTATTATCTAGCTAGTTATATAAATGAGGGAACTTTTTCTATACAAATATTATTGTATCTAATTAATTGTACCGCAATACGACCAAGCTGGGAAAGATATACATAAATATAGAAACAGAAATAATGAGCAGTTTTTATTTGTCGTATTTTGTTTTAATTGTATTACTTTTGTTCAGTTTAAAAGGGGAAAATGTGTTGGTTTTGTAACCTAGAAAATGTATAAAAATAAGGGCAATATATTAAATTTGTGGCAGAAATTTAAAACAGAAATTTATTTTAAATTCATGAAAACAAAGTAACTATAGTTTTTAAACTTGTTTGATATAAAAGTATTACGTATGGTATTTTAAACTTTATTTTTCATACTTCGTAAAGGGTATTTGATGAATTTCCTTGAGACCTCTCTATAAAATCTCACTAGCTCACTTTTCCTCTCTGGTATAGTAAAAACTAGTGTTAACTTAGTTTTCTTGTTTTGAATGTAAATATGTACAGTATGTGTATAATTTTCATTTCTATTTGACATAATAATGTCTCTAGGAATTCATGTAGAAATTTTGCATACCACAAATGCAAACATACTCTAAAATACATACACCTACCACTGCAACAAAAAAAAATATTAAAACAAATAAAAACTTTTAAACAACAATAATCACACATATACGTACATACACTACTATTTAAATATACAAAACTCACATAAAAAGTTTATAAACACTAACAACAAATAAAGCCAGCCAACAGCAAAAATACTTAGAACCTGCAACAGCAACGACAGCAAAAGTGTTCCCCTAAAAAAACCACAAAAAATGAAAAAAAAAAAAAAAAAAAAAAACAGAAAGTAAATCATCATCAACAGTAGCAGTAAGACACAATTCCTTCAATTGCAGCAATAAAATTGGCTCTACTGAAACACAGGCAGTCCTGTAATCTTTTCATTGCAACTACATTTTTAAAACAATTGTGGCAACGTTTTCTTGAATATTTCAAATTCCCTCCATAAAAAAGTTAGTTTAGTTTGGATTTCATTCTTCCATCTCTGATATTTAAAAACACATTGCTTAGGTCTTTGTTTTTCTCATTTATTTTCCTAAACAAACCCTAGCATTATTAAACTACTCCAAAATACCAAAAGTTTAGGTCAGTTTAAGTCTGGGGTCTGCTGATAGAGAAATAAATTGTTTTATCTTTCATATCTTTGTCCACCCTACACGCATGTCATGTAAATGATCTGCGAAACTTTTTAACAATAAGTTTTAACAGATTTATTGCACAATTTGAAATGTTTTTTTTATATTTTTTGCTGAATTATCTACAAGCGGTATGTAAATTATTCAGCAGAAAATAAAATTAGAACAGGAACTGAACTAGAACTGAACTATAACTGAACTAGAACTGAACTAGAACTGAACTAGAACTGAACTAGAACTGAACTAGAACTGAACTAGAACTGAACTAGAACTGAACTAGAACTGAACTAGAACAGAACTAGAACAGAACTAGAACAGAACTAGAACAGAACTAGAACTGAACTAGAACTGAACTAGAACTGAACTAGAATAGAACAGAACTAGAACTGAACTAGAATAGAACAGAACTAGAACAGAACTAGAACAGAACTAGAACAGAACTAGAACAGAACTAGAACAGAACTAGAACAGAACTAGAACAGAACTAGAACAGAACTAGAACAGAACTAGAACAGAACTAGAACAGAACTAGAACAGAACTAGAACAGAACTAGAACAGAACTAGAACAGAACAGAACTAGAACAGAACTAGAACAGAACTAGAACAGAACTAGAACAGAACTAGAACAGAACTAGAACAGAACTAGAACAGAACTAGAACAGAACTAGAACAGAACTAGAACAAAACTAGAACAAAACTAGAACAAAACTAGAACAAAACTAGTACAGAACTAGAACTGAACTAGAACTAAACTAGAACTAAACTAGAACAAAACTAGAACAAAACTGGAACAAAACTAGAACAAAACTAGTACAGAACTAGAACTGAACTAGAACTAAACTAGAACAAAACTAGAACAAAACTAGAACAAAACTAGAACAAAACTAGTACAGAACTAGAACTGAACTAGAACTAAACTAGAACTAAACTAGAACTGAACTAGAAGTTAACTAGAACTGAACTAGTACTAGAACTGAACTAGAGCTGAATTGGAACTGAAAAGGAACTGAATTAGAATTGAACTAGAACTGAACTAGAACTGAACTAGAACTGAACTAGAACTGAACTAGAACTGAACTAGAACTGAACTAGAACTGAACTAGAACTGAACTAGAACTGAACTAGAACTGAACTAGAACTGAACTAGAACTGAACTAGAACTGAACTAGAACTGAACTAGAAC